CTCGGTGCCAGTATTTTTTTTTTTTTTTTTTTTTTTTGCGGTACGCGGGCCTCTCACTGTTGTGGCCTCTCCCGTTGCGGAGCACAGGCTCCGGACGCGCAGGCTCAGCGGCCATGGCTCATGGGCCCAGCCGCTCCGCGCCATGTGGGATCTTCCCGGACCGGGGCGCGAACCCGCGTCCCCTGCATCGGCAGGCGGACTCTCAACCACTGCGCCACCGGGGAAGCCCCTGTGCTGGTATTTTTGTGCATACACTGCCCTCTGCCATCAGCCCCGGGTACTGCACCTTCTAGCCCAGTGCCTTTGGAGGAAAGGCTCTTCCCTAAAACGGAGAGGGTGTGGGATGATTTTGGACAGGCTCTGTGCCCACCGTGGAGCTGCCAGCTGGAGGAGATGCTGTTTCGCTCCCTGGCGTGCCCAGGCTGGCCCAGCCTCCTTGTTGCCCAGGCCCTGGCTTCTGTCTCCCCTCCCTCTCCTTTCCCATCTCTCCTCTCACAGGATTGGGGGTTAGGAACTGTGGTAGTGCTGGCATTGCTGCAGCCCAAACCCCTTTCAGGACCTTCCTTGACAGGCACCTGAAAATCTTGGTGCTAGTCAGGAAGTCCGGGGAGTGAGAGCCCCCGTCCCTCAGCAATACTGTCCTCTAGACTCACCTGCACTGCTGGTAAGCTCCTGCACTGGCTGCAAGGGGGACCCTCTGAGATCTCAATACCACACCCCGCCCCTGCCCCAGTGCAGTAGATGATCTGGGCATGGAGGCACTGGTGAGACACAGGCAAGGGGCTACAGAGGAAGGAAGGGATCAGAGCTGAACACAGACAGCCTGGGAAGGCTTCCTATAGAAGGTGAAGGGGACACGACTTGTTGGAGAACGGGAGTGTCTTAAGACGTTTTAGGTCTCATCTGGCAGCTGCTCTGAGGTTTGAGCTTCCCTTTGCCAGCTGCCTCTATTTCCCTCCCAGGGCCTCCACCACTCCTGCCATCTCAGGGCGACACCACTTGTAGGACTAACCCTCCATCCCTCAGCCCTTAGACTCACATCCGGCAAGTGCTGCACAGACCAGAGAGGCGCTGAGGGTCTCTCCTCTCCTGCACGCCAATTTCCACCGCCCTGGCCCTCCCTCCCTGCTTGGTGCACTTCCACACCACAGCCCCTTGTATATTTGGTCCCTCTTCGAGCATGCATAGACACGTGCTCATTGGCTCACAGATTCAAGTCTACGGAAGATACTCAAAATACTTAACTGGTATAATCAGGCACCAACTCATCAAAGTAGTTGTCAGCCACAGACAACCGAGACAGCCATGCCAGTCCCTGGGCACCATTCTGCTTAAGTTCGTGTTCACGACCACTCGCATGTAGATGTGGACCCCCACGTGGCCTCTGACACATATGGGAGAACATCTTTCAGCTGGTGAGCAGTGCTCACAATTCATATCATGATCCCGAGCCTGGGTCCAAGGAGCAGAGAGCATCACCTGGCCTCGGAGGGAACTGTTAGGCTGGAGGAATGCACACAGCCCTTAGGCAATAGGGTTGTGTGAAGAAAGGTGCAGCTGACCCAGGGAGGGCTTGGGGGAGGTTTCTTAGAGGAGGGGTGTCTTGGTTTGTCTTATAGGATAGGACAAGCCTGCCCTGGTGGGCAGGAGGCTGGAAGAACAGCCCAGAGCATGTCATCAGGGAAAAGCATGATGCATGTGAGAAACATGCAATCATCTCATAAGCACACCTACCCAAGTCCCGAAGTTACAATTGTCTTCAAAAGAGTAAAGCAGGCTGAGAAGGGGAGCGGTGGGGAGGGGGGGGTCAGTTTCGCTGCCTAGAGAGTCTGGGACAGGAAGAAGAGTGAGGGAAAAGTGAGTGCTGGTGAGCTCAGTGTTTCACACCGTGCAGGCACCTGCACTGGACGTTTACACATGAGAAAGCCAGGACAGTGTAGAGGCTATGAGCACAGATGGTAGCCAGGCTGCCTGGGCTGAACCCTGGCTCAAATCCTGGCTCAGCTACTCACTAGCTGTGCAACCACCAGTAAGTTACTTAACTTCCTGGTGCCTCAGTACCTTCATCTGTAAAATGGGGATAACAACAGTACCTGCCTCACAGGGCCGCTGTGAGCATTAAATGAGTTAATATATGTGTAGTGCTTAGAGCAGTGCCCAGCAGAGCTCACACTGTGTGTTAGCTATTATCATTACCATCATCATTATTATTTACAAGGTGCCTCCCATACACCTCTGGGAGTAGGTGGAGCAGGTATTAGCACCCCCCTTTTTAGGGATGCGGAAACATAGGCTTAGGAAGTTGGGAGACCTGCCCGTGGTCACATGGCAGGACCAAGACCTGGGTCCTCAGAGTCCTGAGTCCACACACTTCACCAGAGGCTTGGGGTGGGGCTGGAGGAAGGAGATGGCTAGCAAAACTCAAAGGAGATGGTCCCGGCCACGGAGCTGAGCAAGGAGGAAGCGAGGGGGATGGGGCTGCCCAGGAAGGCACCTCTCTGGTAGCCAAACAGCAGGATGGGAGCAGAGCTGAGTGTCTGGCAGGACAGTCCTCCTTGGACTTTATATCCCAGCTCCTCTGGGGTGAGCTCACCTTCAGCTTTGCCAGCTGCAAACCTGCTGAACAGCTGTCCTGCCCCCAGATGTGTGGCTCTGATTGTGGCCAAGTCCCCCAGGGACTGTGCTCCAACCAGCTAGCATGGGGCTGTGTAGTCTTTCCCGAGAGAAGGTAGGTCAATCTCTACTGGCAGAGGCTTGTCAGGGTTACTGGCAGGAGCTCCAAAGAGAAGACAGACCCTTGCTTCTTACTCCTGAAGGCCAGCTTGGTGCTATTGCTAAGCCTGGGTCCATGCAGGCTGTGCACAGGGAAAGCCAGTGAGAGGGAGTCTGCCCCTGATTGGTCGGGGAAGCTGTCCTCCTCCCATCAATTTTAAGCTGATTTCTCCGCTAGTCATTTGACAGGTGGATTGGGAGCATCAGTGTGTGGTCATTCACAGGCGGCTTGGCCACGGGCATTAGTTTTGGTGGGCTAAGGACTCTCTTGAGAAGCAGAAGAGTGTGGTGGGGAAGAGGTCTCCACAGCGTTGTGAAGTCAGACCTGGCTTCCACCTTGGCCCCATCACTTACCAGCTGTGTGACTTTGTGTGGCTAAGCTAGCTATGTGGACACATGGAGAGTCATTCATCCTGTCTACGCCTCTGTTTCTTCATCTCTACAATGGAGTTACTAACCTACCTCTTGGGGTCATTGAAGGATTCACGAAAGAAAATGCATGTGGAGATGTTGGCACGATGCCTGGCACATACTAAGTGCTCCCCAAATGGCGGTTATTGTTATTGTCATTTTTATCTCTGAGAGCTAGGGTAGGGGTGTTGAGAAGGAGAAGAATCAAAGGTCTGGAAGAGGCCTCAAGGGATCATCCAGTCCAGATAGGCCCTGACTTTCCATAGATAAGAAATGATTGCTCCCATTTTGCGGGTCGGCATAAGCATGGAAGGAATGCCGTGCCCAAGATCATCTCCAGGGTAGGGAAGGTGAGGATGGATGACCAGCCTCCTGCCTCCAGACCTAGTACTGGGGACTGGAGGGCTATGCTGGCCACATGACAGTGAGGCACTAAGGACAAGTCAGCCCAGGACAAATCCTATGTTGTGATGGTCAGTGGCCATCAAAGTCTCACCTCCCCACAGCTCTGGACCCTGGCTCGAAGGATTCCCTGCTGCCTCTGCTCTCTTCAGGGGCTGGCACCTTCTCTGTGGCTTCTTACCTCTAAGCCTTTTACCTCTAGGGGATCAAAGTGTTCTGAAATTTGAGGTCTGGGGGGATGGGAGTGGACTGACTTTTGGCTGGGCTGATCAAACCTCATTAAGGAGTAAAGTCTGGAGACATGGAGAGAAAGACAAACATGAAGACAGTCACCTCTGTGAAAAATGTGGTCTGCCTGGGGTGAGAGGGAAACAGGCTCAAAAGCCTGGAGGGTTCCTAAATAATTTTATTCTCTAGAGGAGTATAATCCCATAACCCCAGGCAGCCGGAGAAGATGGGTGCATCCTATCGGTCATCCAGATGTGGAGTTCAGATGTGTATTGTGTTGTCCTGGGTGTAGGGTTTTCTCTTTGGTCAATGCTTAGTCTTATGAGTAGACATGAAAAAGTCAGGACTGGTTAAACCAAACCAAATGCTGGAAGATCTGCTGGACGCAAGCTGTTTGGTGACCAATCCCATCTCAACACTGAATACCAGACAGTTTTCTAATGTCCTGTGCTTCTGACTTTAAGGGACACAACCTTGTTTAAACAGTAGCTGCACTCATGTACGATTAAGGGAAGTCACGTTAAAGAAAAGTCCCAAACCAAACAAGAGAGGTGTATGCAGACCCACCAGCTCTGGTCAGTTTCCCGGCCCAGTGAGGACACAGTGGCGTGGGGAGCTCCGTCTGCCCATCTGGCTCCGTAAGCCATGCTTGCTCTAGGGAAGATGGTTCTGAGGAGCAGGACAAAGGGAGGAGGAGGAGGCATGAGCAGAGATGCAGTTGGGGGCTGATGCAGGAATTTAGAACACCCAGAAGTCCTTGGTCCATTGAGCCTCACTGAGCTTGAGATGTTAGAAAATGAAGAGCAGACTCCCTTCTTTAGAGTGGTCAACCTTTTCAAAGATGAACCCTGCCTGACTCTGTTCCAGTACTTTCAAGCTCACCCCTGCCCTGGGCTGGTTTGGCCACAGCGGGTTCAGAGCGATCTGATGCATGGGTTATGGGGACACATATCTGTGTTCAGTTCTGGGCTCTGCCACTTATTAAACTATTGGACCTTGGAAAGAAGCCCAACTTCTCTATGCCTCAGTTTTCTTTACACAAAATAGGGTCAATGATGCACCCACCTCATGCAGATGTTGTGAGGGGTAAAGGAGAAAATGCAGGGGAGCGCTTTGCAAAGCTCCCTGGGAGTGACAGGTGTGACTGTTTTCGTGGTGGCTCAACACTTCTGGGTGTTGGGCTCCAGGTGTGGATCCTGGAGCAGCAGAACCAGGTGCTGGGGACCAAGTGGGAGCTGCTGCAGCAGCTGGACCTGAACAACTGTAAGAACAACCTGGGGGCTTCCCTGGTGGCGCAGTGGTTGAGAGTCCGCCTGCCGATGCAGGGGACACGGGTTCGTGCCCCAGTCCAGGAAGATCCCACATGCCGCGGAGAGGATAGGCCCGTGAGCCATGGCCGCTAGGCCTGCGCATCCGGAGCCTGTGCTCCTCAATGGGAGAGGCCACATCAGTGAGAGGCCCGCGTCCCGCCAAAAAAAAAACCAAAACAAGAACAACCTGGAGCCCATCCTCGAGGGCTGCACCAGCAACCTGCGCAAGCAGCTGGAGACGCTGTCCGGGGGCCGGATGAGTCTGGACTCGGACCTGAGGAATGTGTGGGATGTGGTGGAGGACTACAAGAAGAGGTGAGCTGGGAGGGGACCCCCAGTAGCTACATGACTGTCCCTGTCCCTTTTGAGTTTGTTAAGCAGGAGTGGGCAGCTACCCCAGCTTAACATTTTTGGAGGTGGAGGGAGGCAGTGTTCCTTGTCATCCCAAGCAGAATCACCCCCAAGAAAAAGGAAACTTGCTCTCCTCCTCCAGCCTGGCACTTAGGACGATGTGAGATTTCCTACAGGACATTCATGCCACACGCTCCTTCCTCATTTTTTAAAATTAATTTATTTATTTTATATTTATTTTTGGCTGTATTGGGTCTTCGTTTCTGTGCGAGGGCTTTCTCCAGTTGCGGAGAGTGAGGGCCAGTCTTCATCGCGGTGCGCGGGCCTCTCACTGCCACGGCCTCTCCCGTTGCGGAGCACAGGCTCCAGACGCGCAGGCTCAGTAGTTCTGGCTCATGGGCCCAGCCGCTCAGCGGCATGTGGGATCTTCCCGGACCGGGGCACGAACCCGTGTCCCCTGCACTGGCAGGCGGATTCCTAAGCACTGCGCCACCAGAGAAGCCCTCCTTCCTCATTTTTGAAGCTGGATCTTCAATAATCTTCCAAAATTGGTGATCACATCTCCTCCTCCAGGAAGGCTTCCTTGCCTGGCTGGCCCTACTGGCCCTGGACTCTGCAGCCCTGCAGCATCTGTGCCCTTGCCCAGGGTCTTCCCTGGGCAAACGAGGGTTCTCAGTGAGACATATTAACTGACAGAGCACTGGCATGCCTGCAGGTATGAGGAAGAAATCGACAGGCGGACAGCAGCAGAGAATGAGTTTGTGCTTCTCAGAAAGGTGAGGGGTAGGCAGGTCTTGGATCTGGGGCTGGCCTGGGACCTGGAGGAGCTGAGTCTGCCAGTGTGCTCTGCTTTCAAAGAAAGTGAACTGATTCAGAAATAGCGAGGGGAAGGCAGGGGAAAACCGCGATGGAAGAGTATCCAGAGAAGGGAATAAAACCGGCAGAGAGGATGATGGCATTCTTGAGTGTTTAATGGGGTCGGGGTTTGTCCACAGTGAAGAACAGTGGAGGGTGACACACAGGGGCTCTCCCTGCAGTTGCGGGCCTGGCTAGGATGTCACAGTGATGACTGACAGCAGCCTCGATGGGTTCCCTTCCTTAGAGGGGCACCCCATCCCTACTGCCGAGGGAGCCCATTCTCAGGATGGGGCAGGGCTGGGCCTTTTGCTCCTTCCTCCCCTTTCCCACGAACCTCCCAAAGAGAAGAGGTGGCTATTTCCCCATGCAGGGGACCCAGCCTGGGGTGTGTGTTGCCTTCTGGTCTGCACTGGCAGTGATTTGGGGATGGCTGGGATATCTTTCAGGACGTGGTTGCAGCTTATGCCAGTAAGGTGGAGCTGCAGTCCAAGGTGGACTCCAGGGACCAGGAGATCATGTTCTTCCAGTGTCTCTATGAAGCCGTAAGTCCGTCTCTTCATTCCACCCCTCCGAGGGCTGCCAGCGGGTAAAACTCTATTCTGGGGCCGGGAGGGGCACACAGGCCCCAGCTCTCAACCACTCATCTCCATTTCAGCCCTCAGAGGCTCCTCATCTCCTCTCTGGGTGGGAAGGAAATGGTCCTGGCCTTATCTCCATAGCAGCAGGACTCTGTCTGGGGCCTGGAGGGAACTCGCTTTGCCCAGAGAGCAACAGCCTTGGTTTGGAGCCTCTAAATTGGCATCACCAGGATTTGCTTACCTTGGGAGGGAGGTTGTTGGCCTCCATCAGTCAAGTCCTGAGACCATCACTGTTTCCCCTTCAAGGGATCGCTCAGATCCAGTCCCACATCAGTGACATGTCTGTCATCCTGTCCATGGACAACAACCGCGACCTGAACCTGGACAGCATCATTGATGAGGTTCGTGCCCAGTACGAGGAGATCACCCTGCAGAGCAAGGCTGAGGCCAAGGCGCTATAGCAGACCAAGGTGAGCTGGGCTGAGGCCGGCCCGGGGAGGGTGACCCCAGTAGGCATGAGGGCTGGGCCGGAATGTCTAGTTAAATGCCCAGCGTGGCCTGCCCCCATGACATCACCAACCCCAAGCCACCATGTACTCCCACGACACGCTCATCACCCCCATCCATGGCTCCGCCCTTTGGGTCCCCAGTTCCAGGAACAGCAGCTGGCAGCTGGCCAGCATGGGGACGACCTCAAAAACACCAAGAATGAGATCTCAGAGCTCACCCGGCTCATCCAGAGGATCCGCTCAGAGATTGAGAATGTGAAGAAGCAGGTGAGGTGGCTGGTTGCCTTTGCATGGGGTGGACAGGCACAGTTGGAGGGGGATGAGTGGGCCGAGAGTGTCAGCCTCCCAAATCTCTGCCCAGGGGAGGAAAGGGACCAAAGAGGTGACTGTGTCAAACCCTTAGAACAGGTGTCCCTGGGGCATCTCATCTGCAACTCGCCCCAAGGACCCCTGATTTGAAGACCCCTCCCCTAGGAAGACTTCTCTCACCCGACAGGGTGGGGTAGGACCACATCCCTCTGCCCCTCTTGCCCTGATATCAATGTGCTCTCCTGGCACTTGTGTCTCCCCTGTACTTGTCAGGCTTCTGTAATTGCCAGACACCTGCATGTCCCTTCTTCCACTGGACCAGAGGGAGGCAGAGAGCTGGCTACTTTGCTCCTGTTGTTTGCCCAGCGTCTAGTACAGTGCCTGGCACAGAGTAGCTGCTTAATAAACATTTGTTGATTCAGGGATTGAGGAGAAGGGGGTTCAGAGAGCACCCCTTCAAATCTGTGGATATCTATTAAGGCCTTACTCGGAGTACTGCTCCTGGGAACATAGGGAGCAGTCTCAGTTCTAGTAGGTGGGGAGACAAGATTCTCATATACATTAACAATAGCAGCATCTCCTGTCATTTTATCACACTGAATCCTTCCAAAGACCCTGTGAGGCAAGCCTTACCTGTTGTTACAGATGAGGAAACGGGTTCAGAGAGGTTAAGAGTGTTGCACTGCGGTAAGTGGTGGAGTTGTGATCTGAACCAAGGTCTCCTGACTCCTGGTCCAGTCCTCTTTCCACTCTCCCATGGGTTTTAACACTTAGTAGCTCTGGGACATTGGGCAAGTTACTTGTCTGCACTGCACAGGATGTTGTGAGGACTGGATGAGTCAAGTTATATAAAAGCCGTGTGTAGGGCTGAGCACAGTGCCGGGCATATGGTAAGCATTTGGGAAATTGTTTGTCCTGGGGTATCTCCTTCCCCATTCCCTCATCTGTGACTCCATGCACCTGAGCAGCCACTGTTGTGGTACCTGCAATACCATATTCCAGTGATCTGTCCTCCTAGACTTTAAACAACTCAAGAGCAGAAGGCTGAGCTTACTCTTACTCATTTTGTATCCTCAGAGCAGGGTGGCCAAATAAATGACTTTGAAAGGTACTCAGTGGCACTGAATTAGCCATCAACTCAGGGGGGCAGGATGCACTATTTTTCATCACCACCAGTGTCTAAACAGAGTGGAGATAAAGCTAAGAAAGGACTTGCCGACCCCAGAAGGGGCTCCAACTAGAAGAGGAACAGGGAGTCTGAAGGGTGGAGGTGGGCATCTCTGCTCCAGAATCTCAAAGAATGAGTGGGACTTGGATGTGGATGATTCCAGTGAGCACTTCCAGTTTCCAACCTCTGTAATTCCCCATTTAGGCTTCCAACCTGGAGACGGCCATCGTTGTTGCTAAGCAGCGTGGGGACAACACCCTGAAGGATGCCTGGGCCAAGCTGGATGAGCTCCTCCAAAGACAAGCTGGCCAGGATGATGCACGAGTACCAGGGACTCATGAGCCTGAAGCTAGCCCTGGACATGGAGATTGCCACCTACCGCAAGCTGCTGGAGAGCAAGGAGTGCCGGTGAGGGAGCGATGCTCTGGCAGGAAGGCCACAGGGGTTTGGGAAGGACCAAAGGAGAAAGCCTAACACATCTTAATCCAGAAGAGATGAATTCTTGGGGAAAGAAGGGGTGGTGATGCTAAGAATAATAATAGAATTAATAATACTACACAGACACGAGTGCTTACTTCATACCAGGCACTGTGCTACGTTGATTGGTTCATTCAGTCCTCACCACTTCCCTGCCTGTACCTGGGTACACTACCCAACCACCCCCCCAAAAAAAACATTACTCTGTTAGGCCTTCTTGTTCTCTCTTCCTTAATTGTCCAGGTAAAAGATGAGCTTGTGAGTGCTGTCCCAGGGCAGCCACTCCAGCATCACCAATGCCCTTGGGAGAAGGAAAGCCTCGATGCCTGGGAGGCTGACCCTTGGGAGGTGTGCATGCCATCCCCACAAGTACTCCTCATGAGAGCTACTGTTTGATGGATTTTTGCCTGGTTATCCCAAAGATTCAGGGGTGGCCCCCATAGCTTCTGGAGCTCTGCTTGCGCCAAAGGAGCCCTGATATTTCCATAGGTGCCTACTGAGTTCAGAAACCCACATTAGGCCAGTGGGGGCACTAGCTTTGAGGTTAATAACTTGTGGGTTGAATGACTGTTTGTTCTTATTTTATTTCTCCCCTAACAGGATGTCATGAGAATTTCCCTCCCCTGTCAGCATCTGTAAGTACTTGTGTTCTTGGACCTAGAATTGTAGAATGTGTGGACTTGAAAGGGCCTTAGTTATACCGTGTGTGTGGAGATGAAGAATCTAAGGACCAGAGAGGGGAAAACTTTGCCTGAGATCACACAGCCAGATGGCAGGGCATGTCCAGCAATCAGGCCTTCTGACTCCCAGCCCAGCACTCCTTCCTTTTTATCATTCTGTCTCCCTGTTCTGAGGGCAGCTAGGAAGGTTATCACCATGGTGATGGGGAACCAAAGGACACAGTGCAGGAAGGTGAGTATGGGTGTGTGTGAGGCCTGGGGAGCCAGGTTGCAAGTTATGATGAGACCTGGGCTGGGGCATTGGTAAATGGGGGACCTCGGAGGTCAAGCTGAAAGTGTTAGATCTCTGGATTTCTCATCAGGGCTAAGAGTTAAATCATAGCTTCCAAAAGATGCCATCTGGAGGACAGACGGTAGAGGTTGGAAGCTGGGAAGTTTAGAAAAAAGACTAATAGAAGAGGCAGAGTGTTCAGAATGACAGGTGGGTCCATTGGTACCTGGACCAAAGAGGTGGACCTCTGAAAGTTAAGAATCAGCTAGATTGGATGTAAGCTGGGCAAGTCAAGGGCAACGCATGGAGGAAGCTGTCTCTGAGATATTTTCCCCAGTGGGGACGGGGTTGGCTGTGACTGGGTCCCCCACGAAACCCATTGTTCCAAGAAGAGCCCTACCTGTCCTGGGGAAAGGCGGCCTCGTCCGGTCCCACTCCCAGCTGTGCTTGTGGGGTGTTGACCCTGCTCTCCCCCTGCAGCCACCATTAGCAGCACCAGCGTCAGCAGTGGCTATGGCTTCTGGCCCAACTCGGTCAGCGGAGGCTATGTGGTCAATGGCAGCAGCTGCATCTCTGAAGTGTGCAGCATCCGTAGCAGGGAGGGCCAGAACCAGAGCAGCACCACTGACTACAAGGATGCCCTGGGGAAGGGCTCCAGCCCGAGTGCCCCCTCCAAGAAAGCCAGTCCATAGAGAGGGCTGTCCTCCCGCCACCTCTTCGTCCTAGCTCTGGCTCCCACGTGCAATCTCCCTAGCCTGCTCTCAGCCCCACTCCCACCCTGCTGGCCCTGCTTTTGTACCTCCAGTGCTGGACTTGGCCACCCACCTGTGTCATCCTGAACCTGGACAGGTGTGGATGACTAAGCCTGGTGAAATTCGTCCCCGCACATGCTTGGGGTTTGCCTCTTTGGCTGTGGTCCCCGAGCCATGCCACCAGCTCCCAGTCTTCGATCCTCTGCACAGCCTCTGGCTCAGTCACTAATTACTCTCTCTGGCCCCGTGGGTCTCAGACTGAGGCCCCCCCCTCACACTGGGGCCTTTGTCCCAGCTCCTACTAACTACCTGTGGTAGGAGTGGCTCTGTGTTCAGGAAAAGGCAAATGAAAGACAAAGGACTAAGCGAGGCCATCCCCGCCCCTCCCTGGCTGGCTCATGACTCATTCTGAGTGGACCAAGTACAACTCAGGGTCTCTTTCTTCATTCTCCTGCACGCACAAGCAGGGAAGAGGAGGCCTGTTCGTTTCTCCTTTCTTCTTAAAGGCCCTCCCTCTGCATCCTCAATAAACAGCAATGATCTGATGCCTTGGCCTCTTGAGTAGTTAAGGTGTGCACAAGGACCTCAGTCCAGATGCTCATGTGAGCAGACACCACAAACCCACACGGACACACTACACCACTGCATATCGCCTGTGCAGCCTGTATTTCCAGGTTAATCTTCTCTGTAGAGCAGAAAAAGAAGACGTTCTCAGATCACACATAGCAGAGGGGCTGGAAGCACTTCTGGGGCTGCAGGGAGGTGAAGCGCGGAGAGTTTGGGAAGAGGGCAGGAGAAGGCGTGGGGAGAAGAAAGGAAACCATAGAGAGGGGGTGTGTACAGCCTGGTTTGTTGTTTTCAACAAAAGTGTTATATGTGACCACTGGCAGAAACGGTCCTGCTCCTGACAGGGGTCCTGGCCTCTTCTGGAGAACTGGATCTTTCCTAGAGGGAAGGTAGGGGCTTGGTGGACAGGTATCTGCCTTTGTTCAGCCTGTTCCTCACTCTCACCGTCCTGGCCTTCCGGGGGGGGCGTGTCTCCAAGGAAGGGTGAAGCTGGTGGGAACCACACATGCTGGCCCCACTGTTAGAAAATCTAAGATAGGGAACCAGAGTTCTGCGAACCTGAGCCTGGACTGAGGGGGAGTGAGATGGGGGAGGGGCAGACTGTGAAATTTAGTGACTATGCAGTTGGTACCTCTCCAGACACCTGTTCACCCTGGAACTACTGTTGGGGTGGCCAGTCCTGCCCTGTGGTGAGGAGGGCTGGAAGGAGGAGAGATGGACAGATTCTCCAGTGACCAGCAAGAGCAAGCAAAACTCAGCTGGGAAGTCTTTGGGAGTCCAAAGGGTTTGCAGAGATGGAGGTGGAGGGATTGGAGGATGGGATGGAAGGGCTGCGCTGAAGGATTGAACCTGAGAGTAGTGGTTGGGGCTTAAGACAAGGCTGCAGGGCCAGGCTTGAGCAACCCACTCCAGGAGGCGACCATCAGTTGCCCTCAACCAGGAAGTCAACACCACCATTCAGTAGGTGTCGGTAGAGGAGGGCAAGCAGATCAAGACTCAGAAGCAAGTTTTGCTTCCCCGGTTGACAGGGTGAGGCCAGTGTCTGTCCTAACCTGTACACAAACACTAACCTCTACCCTAACACGTAAACTAACCAAAACCCGTTGTCGTACCCTAAGCTGAACCCTAAACCATACCCATTCCCTAACCCTAAACCTAATCCTAACCCTTACACTAACCCGAAACCTAATCCTAACCTGTACACTAACACTAACCCATACCCTACCACGTGCCCTAACCCTAACCCGTTGTTGCACTCTAACCTGTACCCTAAACCGTACCCGTTCCCTAACGCTAACCCTAAACCTAACCTTAACTGTAAACCTTACCCTAAACTGTACCCTATTCCTAATGCGTACACTAACACTAACCCGTACCCTAACACGTACCCTAACCCTAACCCGTTGTCGTACACTAACCTGTACCCTAAACCATACCCATTCCTAATCCTAACACTAATCCTAACCCTAACACTTACCCTAACACGTACCCTAATCCTAACCTGTATAATGAAACTAACCCATACCCTAACACGTACCCTAACCTTAACCCGTTGTCATACACTAACCTGTACCCTAAACGTACCCATTCCCTAAACCTAACCCTAACTCTAAACGTAACACATACCCTAACCCGTACACTAATCCTAACCTGTACACTAACACTAAACTGTACCCTAACACGTACCTTAAACAAAAATTGTTGTCGTACGCTAAACTGTACCCTAAAACATACACGTTCCAAAACACTAACCCTAAATTTAATCCTTACCCTAACCTGTACCCTAATCCTAACCTGTACACTAACACAAAATCATACCCTAACGTATACTCTAACATTATTCAGTTGACGTACACTAACCTGTACCCTAAACCGTAACCGTTGCCTAACCCTAACCTTAACCCTAACCCTAAATTTAACCCTAACCTGTAACCTAATCCTAACCCATACATTAACACTAACCTGTACCATAACACGTAACCTAACCATAACCCATTGTCGTACCCTAGCCTGTACCCTAAAAAGTACCCGTTACCTAACTGTAAGCCTAACACTAACCCTAACCCTTACTCTAAACAATACCCTAATCCTAACACGTACATTAGCACTAACATGAACCCTAACACATACTCTAACACTAACCCATGGTCATACATTAACATGTACCCTAAACAGTACCCGTTCCCTAACCCTAACCCTAACCCTAACACTTACCCTAAACCAGACACTAATCCTAACCCGTACACTAACACTAATCCGTACCCTAACACGTATCCTAAACCTAACTCGCTGTCGTACACTAAACTGTACCCTAAACCATACCCATTCCTAATACTAACACTAATCCTAACCGTAACACTTACCCTAAACTGTACCTTAATCCTAACCCGTATAATAACACTAACCTGTACACTAACACATACCCTAACCTTAACCCGCTGTCATACCCTAACCTGTACCCTAAAGCGTTCCCACTCCCTAACCTAATCCTAACTCTAACCCTAAAACTGACCCTTACCGTACAATAAAGCAAAAATGTACACTAACACTAATCGGTAACCTAACAGGTACCCTAAACCTAATTCATTGTCGTACACTAACCTGTACCCTAAATCGTACCCGTACCCTAACCATAACCATAACCCTAACCCTAATCCTAACACGT